AGTTTCCTCTGCTAGAACCCGCACTCGTAATAGAAAGAGTAGCAATAACAATAGTAATAATTCAATAAAAAATGGAAAAGAAGTCGGAAGGAAAATTAAAATGCCTTCAGCAATTTAAGCTAGCCGCATGGTTGTTCGCCGTAATCCCTTGGCGACGAATATTAATTAAGCCAAGCTATTCTTGGCAGATTTATTTTTTGTTCTTTTGGAAGATGGAGGTGTTTTTGCGTGCTCTTTAATTCACGTCTATCGAATGTGCCCTCGCTTTTATCGTAATTGGCGTCTTATTTAAACTCGGGATTAATTATTCTATTATTTTTGAGAGAATTGATAAAGGGATGATGAATCTTAGAAACAAAGAGTTCTTTTTTAATTCTTTGCATATTTTATAAGAAGCTAAGTAATTTTGCACGCTGACTGCTTCTTTTTCCTTTTCATCTGTATTTGTATTGATAAATAGATAAAGAGACGGGAAGAAAAATACATTAGTACCGTGAACAAATTGCGCTCTTGCCAGGCAAGTCTACATGGATAGAAACGTAAAAACACGCATTGGAAAATGAACAAATGTATATATAAGATAAAAAAAATATTTTATAGAATTTTAAAACATCAATTATTCTCAAAAAACGTATAAATTACCAACATGTAGAAAGCCACTACACAAGTTTATGCAGAAAAGTATAATAACTGATTAAAATTTAGAAAAAAAAGTGTTTTTGTTGTTGTTTTTAACGCAAGAAGGTTGTTAAAGGGATTGAAATATTGAAAACTGTATAAGAAGCTATATAAACGAAATGCTTAATGTAGAATTTAAAAATAATTTTCTCTACTCTCTATCTCTTTCTTACACAAAAATGTACAAATACTTGAGATATAAAAATGTGCCAACAATTATAAAATTATAAAAAGTAAATAACTATAATTTAACTATTTTCCTTCTTATAGAAAATTTCTGATAGGGAACTGTTAGCCTGTAGTAACTGTTTAAAATTTGTTTCTCTTAATTGATACCTTTATATCGCTTAACAGTGGATTGATTTTTTTTTTAAAAAAAAGTTAAATTTGTGCGAGGTAGGATTCAAAAGTTCCCAGATTGAGTCTAACATGAAAATTTTTTGCAGTAGAGGGATTACGATAACATTTCTGTGTCACTGCATTTTTTCCCTTTTCTAAAGAAGTTTTTCGCAAATCACGTAGTTGGTGGCTTTCCACGGCGTCGTACTTTGTAAGTGGATGCATTTAGTAGTCGGCAATTGAAAGAAATTGCATTTGTTGGGCAGAGAATATCAAACTTTATGTTGGCTTGGAAAAGAGTGCTACGAAGAAAAACGAAATCTAGAAGGATGTTTAAGGCAGTGATACACTATTGCGAACGCAAGATTTTGAGTGGCATCGACGTTTCAGAGAAGGCAGGGAAAGTGTGAAAGACGTTGGTTGCTCTGGGAGTCCATAGACTTCCCGCACCTCTGAAAACATTGAAAAGTATTCTGTGGCGGTACGTAAGAACATGCTTCAAACAACGACGGGGTGAAAATGAAAACAACTTTTTTGCCACATACTTCTCCTCCCCTGATTTCGCTCTCTGAAAATTCAGAATAGTTCATGAGCTGGCACGTCACTTGCAGGCTCGTCAATTTCAATCTGCAGATGAAGTTAAAAATGCATGGCAGGCTGAATTAAAGGACATGGCTATACATAGATTCCAGAAATGTTCCGATGAACTTTTCAAGCAATGGCAAAAGTGTGCTGTAGTTGATGGATCTTATTTCGAAGGAGGATGTGTTTCAGCAACTTTACTGGTAATATTTTCTAAGTTATAGACTCAGTCGGGGAACTTTTGAATTCTACTATGTATTATATATCATTAAAAAAATAAGTTTGTTATATTATAGATTTTTAAATCTTCGTTATATAGTGACAAATCGTGTAACGAAGAAAATACTTAAAAAGTAATAAGGCAATTTTTGAAAAGCAGGAAAATAAATGAAAAGTATAATTGTTTTTCTACCCTTAATAAATAAATTTAATTGTTTAACGGGGAGGAAAAAAAACCATTTAGCTAAGAGTTGGATCTATTTTTATTGAGGTGACATATCAAACAATATAAACGAGATATCTATTTCAAACAACTCGTTAAATTTAAGAAACTTAATCTGATTTAGAGTTTAAGCAAATTGTTGTTTTAAAAATAGTTTACAGCAGTGCTTCTCAAACTTTCGATACTTGCGACCCAATTTTCAATGATAATTTTCATCACGCCCCCCCCTTCCATACAATAACTATGCACTGAGTTCAGTAATAATATACTTTGATGCTAAAGCTACCGTGTACGATTTTAATTTTAAATCATAAAGATTATCAAGATAAGTATTAAATTTTGTATGTGATTTTGTGACATGCCCAGAGTCACTGGTAATTATTAAACTTTTTCTTAACTTAGTATAGATAAATTAATTCTGAAATACATTGTGCAGTACTGATACATTTATAAGTATATTATATCAGTGTACATGTGTATTTTATTCTTTATTATGTCAAAATGTATTTTGTTTTTCTTCCTTTTACATTAAATTAATACTTATTTTAAATCTTTTATTTTTTTGTTTTTCAATATGTTCGCGCCCCCATGTAGGTTTATCACACCCCCTTAGGGGGCGCGCCCCACAGTTTGAGAAACGCTGGTTTACACTCTTATTTATTACCCGAATTATTAAAAATCTTTCTTTTATCTAAGCTATTTTACTTCATTTAGTTTTAAACTAAAATGCTTTTTTTCAGTTTTGTTCTGTGTAATGATATATAATTACTAAGAATTTTTTTTCTTTCCTTAATGCTTCATGAAACTGTACTGCAAAAATACTTATTCTATTTTAACAGTAATTCAATGAGAGGAATATTTTGTTATTTATCTAGATATAAGGAGACAAGTTATTCATAAATATATTTTTTTATAAAAATGTAAAATTAAATTGTATTTTTTTTTTAACTTTTACTTTAAACACGGCTTAAATTTGTTTTTAGGTGAAAGATAACGATTTTCAGTTTTAGAAAAGAAATTTTACCATCTTGTTCTAATCTTTCAAAGAATTAGCCTCATTTTTCAGGTCAAGTACAAAGAATTCATTATCTTTTAGATTCCCATTTCCGAAAAAGAACAAAAAATACCAGAGGAGCACTCTTACAAATGATAACACGATAAAAGTGGTCGTGGTAGCAGAAGTGGTAGTAGTTTTAAAAACGACAGACAAAAAATTATAGATCGCCCTTTACAATTCTTAATTCCAAATGACATCGAACATGTTCGCTCTGAATCGTTTGCTATCCCTATAAAATGACTAGGCGTGGCTCAACCACTCAACTCAACTCCACTCTTTATTTTTTCTTCCTTTCCCTTTCATACCTATCAAGTTTATGGTGGCCATTTTGGACATTCATTTTTTAAGAAATCTGTCGCTGGACCAAAGATATATGATGCACATTGTAGCTTTTTATTATAGCCGAAAGCTACAGGCAGAGTTCTTTGTTTCTCTAAATGGATTGGAACATGTTTGGGAGTTGTTGGTTGGATTTATTAGTTTCTAGATTATTTCTATTCCGTTTTGAAATGAGGAGAAAAAAGATAATCGTGTTCCCTTGGTGTTACAGAATGACAATTTTTTTGCCATAACGTTAGGTCATTGATTTAATACCTTCCACTCATTTTTATATTTATGAATAAAGAAGGATAAATTGTGATTATATATTAATGAAAAATTATAAATTACTATAATTATAAATCGAGATTTCCAAAATATGCCTCAAAATATATGTTTGTTAAAAATATGTAAATTTCTTTTTTATTGCATAAATCAGAGAAAGATTGGGATTCAATAACATTTAAAATAAATCACAAGGAATAGCAGTTTTTAAAAAATAGAACTTTATATTTAAACACATAACTAGAAAGTTATATTTGTTCAATAAAAATTGTTAATTAAGCTTATTTAACTGAATAATTATCATTTTTATGTACCATATGAAAGATTTACATATATTTGAAACAAACTCTTTTGGGGCAAACAATTGTAGTTCTATCATCTGGAGCTTAAAACTAGTTGTCTTAGTATTTCTGTAGGTGTAAAACTATTTTACAAAAAAATTATAAAATATTAGTGACTTTATTCTTGAAATATAGCACAAAATACATTTCATTAATAATCAAATTTTTCCAATTCCCATTGTTTCCGTTGGTGTGGTGTGGTCGTTAGGAGAGCGGGTGCCAGCTCAGGTGTCGTCCTCGTCACTTGACCATCGTTCAAAATTACGAGGTCCGTCGCAAAAAGCCCTCGAGTAGCTGAACAGTGTGACGTTAATATTTACTCTCGCACTCACCCGATTCCCATTGTAATTTTAATTTAATTTTTACCTAATTATATTATCAATTAGTCTACCGGATTAGAATCAAATGTTTCAAAAAAGAATAGATCAACTACAGAATAAAAACATGTAATATAAAAAAAATTAAGTCAATTTCTACTTGGGTTAACAAACAAAAATTTTAAAAAATTAGTTACTTTTTATTAAATAGGTACAATTATATATAATGTAAATAAGTATATATATATATATAAATATATATATATATATATATATATATATATATATATATATATATATATATATATATATATATATATATATATATATAAATATATATATATATATATATAAATATATATATATAAATATATAATATATATATATATATATATATATATATATATATATATATATATATATATATATATATATATATATATATATATATATGAATGACAGAATCACAATATTAAGTGCCAAAATTGAAAGCGATTTTCTTTGCAATATTCCATTTTCCTTTCTATATATGGTGTTGGACTATTTTTTCTCTTTGTTGCTATTTATTCAAAAATTAAATTTAATTTTCTCATGAAATAGTACGGTAAAAAAAAAAGAAATCACATTCTCAGAAATTAAGCCATCCCAAGAGGGATTCTAAACCACGACCTTTGGATTAGAAGTCCAACGCGCGCTATCCATTGCGCTGCAGAGACACAACAAACATTTTTCTTTTCTATATATGCTGTCGGACTACTATTTTTGTTAGTTACTATTTATTCATTTTTATTTAAAAACTGTATAAACATAAAGTGTCATCCACTACAAGTTTAAAAATATGTATTTGGACTTGAATGGATGAATAGAAAGTATTTTATTAACGATTGAAAATTTGAACAAGATATATATGTATAATGAGAGAATGAACTAATGGATTATTGGAATTGAATGAAAATAAATGTAAAAGTACTAATTCAATTTCCATAAAAAAATTTTAAATTTCTAATTATAGGACAAATAAAACATATAATTCCATAATAAAATCGCATATTATTTAAGTTTAGTTGTCTATGCATAAAACTCATGTTAGATTTAATATTATTTTTTACCACAGATATACTGTCAAGAGAAGATAGAAGAGAAAATGGATGTACAAGAGATGACAGTGGCGACGACAGCATGGAAAAGCCTTTATCATCTCTAAATCCATTAGACCACAACGGATCATCTAGAGACTACAAAAACGATTGTATTGACAGCATTACTGGTTTGCCAAAAAGCGTGCAACCTAATGTGACCGTAGGTCCTGGTATGCCACATCCACATCTATTACCGTACTTATACCCACCAGCCCTATACTCTTCAAGTATGAGTCACTTGCCTCTTTCTCAACTTTTCCTACCTGGAGCTACCTGCGCTTCAGGTCCCAGTCATCCTTTACCTCTGTCCCTCTTCACTTCCAGTGGACATCCGTCTCCAGCAGCATTTTCTGCTTCCCACCTGGCTCAGAGTTCACTGAATTCCTCTTCACCAGGAGTCGGGTCTCTTCCTGGAATGGGACACAACCTCTTGCTAAATGCTCAATTGGCGTTTGCTGCTGGTCACTCCATGTTTCATGGTTATCCTCCACCTCATTCTTTGGACGGTTCTCTGCCTGGCAGTGCTGGCAATGGAGGTCTTCTAACGACAGCGGGGACAGTTGGTGGCAAGGTGAAACCGCACAGGTTCTCGCCTTATCCTCTGCCACTCACCACAATGACCAGCACCACACCAGCAACGCCTCTTACAGTTCCGACTGAAGTGGTAAGGTCGCCACTATCCACATCACCTTACGAGGGTTCTTCGGGAAGCCTTGCCCCCCATCTCAATCACAATTCCTTAAGCAAACTCGGTGCTGTGTCTCCACATGGTTCGGAGTGTGGTAGCTCTGATGGCTCAGTTGGACCGTCATCAGTGTCTTCTTCCAGTGACTTGAAGAACATTGAGAACATGGTGAACGGCTTAGAGAGACAGCAAGAACAACTGGCGGCAGAGACTCTCACAAGATTAACAGAAAAGTAGAAATTCCGACACATTTCATTTTGGAGAGATAAGTCAAAAACATGTCTTCATCAAGGGACACTGCAATTAGTCAACCTCATCGAAGTAAGATCGACTGAATGGCCAGTTGGGATCGTCTTCAGTTGGAGTCTGCGAAACCAGGTTGTTTCCCTGCAAGAACTTTTGCTTCGAATAGCCAGTGATATATGCAACTCTGTACATTGTAACTCATGACTGTCTTTCCCCTCTTTCCTATTTGTACAGCGATAGAGTTTTGCTTCCAAACCAAAGACAACTAAAATAACAAATTTTCCTTTTGTTTGAAGCTATGAACATGTACTTCATACGTTTTAGTTCAAAGCTAAGCTGAATGGCTTCATTGACTATTTCGGGGCGTGTACAGTGAATATTGAAGTCCCTGAGCGATCCTTCGCAATCAACTTGACACTTCACTGCAGTATTGAACAGCTTTACGTTTGTATTTTTTTAAGTACTTTGATAGTGAAATATTTGCAGTAAAGCTCTTCATGGGCAATTTGCATGAGTGTAGTTGATAAGATTGTATGATTGTACATTTATGTCAGCTTCGTAAGAAAGAAATTATTTAAAATTTATCATCATTATGAATAATTATTTTATGAAGTTATTTCTCAGAAGCATTTTAAATTAAGACTTTTTATAAATATTAAGTTGTCATGGTACAGCTACGTATGTCATCTGCGATTGATGTGAAAAAATGTATATTCTGTATTCATCGACACCGTTTTTGGTTTGTAAATATAATTTTGAAACCAGAAATGAAAAGAGAGAAATTTAGTTGATTTTTCTTTTAGTTTATATCAATAAACTGTAGAAATGTAAAAAGTTTAAAAACATTATAAAAATTACTTGTAATCGACAAATAAAAACTGTGCATTTGGAATGATGTAGTCTTCAAGTAATTAAAAAATAAGAACTTAAATTTATTTGTCTAATTATGTCTTGAAAATTTATAAATATAAATATTTATTTTCAACAATTTAAATGTATCCAAAATACTAAAAATCCGATAAAGAAAGTTTACTTTTGTGAAAATTAAGAGCAATGAATGTTAAAAAAGATAAATTTATAGAATTTTTTTTTAAATCGTAATGATCTTATAATTCAATAATAGCATATAAATAAATAAAGCTGCAACAAGGGAATATATTTTAATCAACTTTCTATTGAGAAAAAAAATCTGCTGAATAATTTATTTTATGGTCAATAGATGTTATGATTTAATTTTTCCTGTTGTTTGAAGCTGTTACAAAATGTCAAAAATATCCATGAGATCAGAGCCCAAAAATACGTTATAGCACCACCTATTTATAAATTTCTGTATGATAGTAGTAGTTGTATATGTTGTAAGGTTTCTTTTGTGGTGTTGCATTAAAAATTGAGTGTTCTATGTTTACATTTAGTTGTCTCAATTCTTTTTAAACATTCGCACATAAAAATTCAAATGCTGCTTTGCTTTTACAATCAACAAATAGCAGCACGAACAATATTCCGACTTCATTATTTAAACTCAACTCGAACTGAGAGGTGTAACAGCCCATGAGGGTCTAGGCCAGGGGTAGCGAACCTTTGTGAATCAAGGTGCCATTTTTTCTTAAGAAATGTTTGATGAGGTACAGACGTGCCGTCAAATAATTTTGACTTGTGATTATATATATATAACTAAATACTAACTACTCAAAACTCTTTATTTACTGCGAAAAAATACATTTTGCACTGTTATAGTTAATAATGTTTTAGTTATATGTGTAATTCAAATTAAAGTAACATCAGTGTGACTTCTGTTGCTGCAGATTGTGTGGATGACAAATAACTTATATTAGGATTGTAAGATGTTACTTCAAGTAGAATGCTTGCTGATTTGAAGTTATCAGCCAAAGAGTTTCTAAGCAATTAATTATTTTTGCTGGGGTTCACTTTTTTTGACAAGAGGATTTGTGATTTGTTTCAAAATGCCGTTTTACAGGATGTTCTTCACACCACTGTTCCAGAACATATAACACATCCCGTTTTTTGTCACCTTTACTAATAATGCCATATTTCTAGATTCACCAAGTTTGAAATTTTCTGTTACTCTTACTACCTTGCACTTTTTGTTCTGAACTAGCCATGTGGAATAGCAGTTAAAAATCGTAAATATAACACACATAAACTTTAAATTACTGTCGTGTCTACTAAATTGATTATGCTATGCGTAGACAAATTTTGCATCATGAGCAACTGTAGTCCACGACGTAACTAAGGCAAGACAATAACAAACGAGTATGCAGCCGCGTTTGTTCGTAATTCATCATAGTGAACTCCGTTATTTTGAAATAAAATACAAAACTTTTAGATCACTCGGGTGCCCAAAACATTGTGTCACGTGCCATTGATGGCACGCGTGCCACTGGTTCGCCATCCCTGGCGTAGGCTTACTGTGCCCCTCTCAGTATAAGTGACCATTGGGCGCTGAGGTGCATAATCAGATGTCCCAATCAGATGGTCAGTCGAAAGCGAGACCCCCTGTGTTTAAGTCCCCAAACAAGCTTGGTACTCATTTATCGACCCACTGTAGGAGGAATGAAAGACTGAGTCGACCTTGCCGAACCCGAGGATAGAACCTCGAACCTGTGGTGTAGAGCGGCGATACGCTACCACTGGGTCTCGACTTCATTATTCAAGAACACAAATAATTCCTTAATTAAATATTGCCATACTAATTATGAAATTTTAAGCGCATATACTTGAGCTTATCAGACTTATTTCATTAAAATAAGTTGAAAAGTTATCCTATCTAGGATTTCTATCTGAAACTGTAGGTTGAAAACAAATCTTCGCATATTTAACGAATTTTATATTCTTTTTTTAAAAAATAAATATTATTAATAGAATTTCAAAAAATTCAAAACTATTTTAGACCCCAAAATATAACTTTTATGTATGGCATGCAAAATTTCACAAGGATTGAATGAATTTGCTGTTTGTAAAGCAATGCGTAATAATATAAAATAGTTTTCAAGTCACTTAATGTAAATTAAAATATAAAATACGCATATAAAAAATTAAGTATTAAGTAAAAATATTGCTCTATTCAATACAATACAAAGGACAGTTTTAATCAGATGCATTTTTAAAAACACATATACATATTTGAACTATTAGTAACTAAACAAATTATGATAAGAAAATTTCTTTCATTGCTGTGACAAGTCATATTAGCCGTGTGGCTCTTTAGACCCCATAAACTTTATTATAAACGAGAGTCATAGCATCACAGTTTTAACCAACACATTTGTTATTACACAAACATTTTAACATGAAGATAAGCGGGTCAAATAACCATAGCTGCAATACAAAATTGAGTTGTGGTATAATTATTTTTCAGAAATTCTACTTTACAAATCAGTTGGGAAAGTAGTAATTTGTTAGAAAGTAATAGAAAAAGAGGTTTTTTTAAAGCAAATATATCAAAACTACACTGAGATTCATAAGAAAATATAAAAGTTATTTGTGTTCCAAGAAATATTTTGACTACTCTACTCTGAAAAATGATCTGATGTGAAGTTTAAACGCTATAAAAAATAACTCCTTAAATTATTAATATTAAGTTATTTAATATAAAAACAGCGTAGTTATAAGTTTTTGATTCCAACTA